CACGCAAATTCTTCTGCTAGTTGGGGTTTAGTCCACTTCTATATCCTTCCCTTCAAGGCTCAGGGGTCCAGGATTATCTTCTGTGTCTGTGTTAATTGATTTCCCTTTTCTTTGTTGAAGAGGGTCTATGCAGTCTTTCTGCCTAGTCCGCCATCTTGCCGGAACCTCTCCTTCCCTTTTGGTTTTTTAACTCTAGGTCTTTGCATATTTCTTTATAATACTTGACTTTGTCTTCTCAAGCTGCCATTTGAAATCTTCTGTTCAGTTTTTTTATTTCATCATTTTTTCCATTGGCTTTAGCTTCTCTCCATTCAAGAGCAAGTTTCAGAGTCTCTTCTGACATCCATTTTAGTCTTTTCTTCCTTTCCTGTCTTCTTAATGGCCTTTTGCTTTCTTCATGCATGATGTTCTTGATGTCATCCTGCAACTTGTCTGGTTTTCAGTCATTGGTGTTCAATACATCAAATCTGTTCTTCAGATGATCTCTAAATTCAGGTGGGATATACTTAAGATCATATTTTGGCTCTTGTGTACTTATTTTAATTTTCTTTAGCTTCAACATGAACTTGCATATGAACAACTGATGGTCTGTTCCACAGTCAGTCATTGTGTCAATTAATAACACAAAATAAGTGTCTGATGCTCATCTCTGTAAGAAGTTTGGTGGTGTAGTGCATAAGGCATTTGGCTGCTAAATAGAAGGTTGGTGGTTCAAACCCACCATCTGCTCTGTGGGAGGAAGATGAGGCAAGCTACTTCTGTAAAGATTTACAGTCTTGGTAACCCAGTGGGGGTCACTATGAGTCCAAATTGATTCTATGGCAGTGAGTTTGATTTCAGTTTTAGTCATCTTTGTATTCATTTTTAGTACATGCTTCCCCTCATAAATAGCAGATTCTCTTGGAGGTCAGGGCCTTTGAGAGACGGAACATAAACATGATCTCAAGGGGCTCCCTCTTAATCCTCTTTTATTTAGCTCACTATTAATCTATCCAAGATTTTTCGGCAACTAAGATGAGAAGCAGCAGCTTCAAACCTATTAGAGAGCAGAAAGAAGCCAATTTACAAATTTTAATTTGTGATGAAAAAATCCTCCAATTATAAGTTTCACAATAGGATAAGGAGCATGAATTGCCATTTAAAAACCTGTCTTTTCCAGGGAAAGAAAAGTAGGAAGTTTTATCTTCTATTTCTAGTAGCTTCACAATGCTTCATAATGCCCCTGGGATAGATGGGACCAGTGGGGGAAACACACAGGGGAGTTTAGAGTTTGGGGGAGGCAGGTGAGGTGTGGCCACTGGACCATCACCAGCTATTTGTTTAAGAGTTTAGGTGGAGTTACCCTGTGGTCTGTCCCGTGATGGCTCAGAGCGTAGGAGGATGGTGTTTCCTGTCTCCAGAAAGCAGCTTATAGCTGAGGAGGAAATGAAGCCCGACTAGCTAGAAGAGAGGAAGCAATGGAGACCCAGGGAAGGATTTACCAGGCCCCTGTTTCTAACTAGTAGAACTGCTTCCTTTATTCTGAAGCCTTGCTTTCTGGTCAGAAGATTCTTTACTCTCCCTCTGGCTTCTCTCTTCTTAACAGCTCTGAGTCTGCCAACTAAGGGATCCATAGTTCTCTTGACTTCTGAGAGACAGGACCAACCAAGATATATCTTCCTGGGTACCCTCCTCTCAAAGAACAAGAGATGTTCCCTAGTCCCAGTCTTTTGGGAAGACACTGAGAGAGAAAAAAGCAGTCTTCAGTCAGACTGCATAAATCCTAGGAACACTGGAATTATTTTCTCCACTGATCTAGGAAAATTCACCTACAAACTGGTTATTCCACAGAAAAGGAATTAAGAAACACACAACTTGAAGAATGTAATGTCACTGAATTATAGACACAAATATTGTTGAATTGGTGTATGTTTTGCTATGTCTATTTTCAACAACAGCAATTTAAAAAAAAGGAAGGGGGATTGGGGAAAAAAAAAAAAAAAAGAAGAAGTAGAAGAAGAAGAATTAAAAAACAGACCAGGAGACTTGCTGCCAAAGCCTACGAAAGAATGAAGTTTACCTAGTAACTGATGATTCTATGCTGAGGCATTCAGCTATTTGTCTCTACATCTATCCCCACCTACCTAGCTAATCTAACAACTTTCAGTTTGGAACACCTGGTTTAAATGACTTGATAGGAGCAAATTTTGTATCCAGGGGCTGGGTAGCCCCAAATCATTTATTTAGCAGGGATCAATACTACATTCCACTCAGTATCTGGAGGTTATCTACCTAGGCTGAGGCTTCTGGCGCTAGCCCAGACCCAAGGACCCTGGAAGAACAGCCAGGGGACTGAATTTCCTGCATCTTCCCAGTATGATCTCACTCCTGCCATTGTTGCTGGGGTTCAGCTTGGGCTGCACTGGAGCAGGTAAAGACCGTCCCTTCCTTGCTCCCATTTGGGGACTAGAGGGTTTAGTTTTGTTACAGGATTTGGACACCCCAGGAGAGTTTGTCTCCATAGTATACACTTCTAAAGTATTTTATACTGTACCTTTTTGGCAATTTTAAGGAGTTGTGGTGGCATGGTTAAAGCATTCAGCAGCTAACTGTTCAGTCAGCGATTCGAATCTGCCAACCACTGCACAGAAGGATGAGGCTGTCTGCTTCCATAAAGATTTATAGCCTTGGAAACCCTATGGGGCAGTTCTACTCTGTCCCAAATTGTTGCTATGAGTCAGAATGGGCTCAATGGCAGAGGATTTCATTTGTTTTTTGTAGCAATTTTAGTAGGACTTGAACTGTGTAATTGTATAATATACATTCCCTGTTAGAATGTAGGCAGTGAGTTTGTAGGCAAGGATAATATCTGCCTTGCTTCCTGTTGCATTCCCAGCTCCTAGCTTCATAAATATGTACAGAGTGAATATTTAATCATCTTTCCAGCACAGAATGAGGCTGACTCTTTCCTTTGATTCCTTCTCACAGAAAAAGGCTGACACCCTTTACCCCTTTTTCTCTCTTAATAATTGGCCTTATTGAAGATCTGTGTTCTGGGTAAATCACTGTGTTTAAACATGAAAATAATCTTGGGCCACTTCTATCCCCCATTCTTAGTCTCACAGAAAGAAGAAATTGGATCTAAAAGCTTCTCTGCTTCTATCATCTATTCCCTTTATTTGGGACTCTGAGAGAATCCAGTAAGACTTGGTCAGCAGACACTAAGTGTGGAATTTATGCCAGACTCCCTGCATGGGACTATGGCTTGGATTCCTAGTGGAGAACCACTCCTGACTTTCCCCTCCTACCCTCCACTCCCCATCCCCTGTTCTCTGGCTCCTGTAGGTGGCTTTGTGACCCATGTGGAAAGCTTCTGTCTGTTGGATGAGGAGGGCACGCCAAAGGATTTCATGTATTGTATTTCCTTTAACAAGGATGTCTTGACCTGCTGGGATCCAGGGCAGGCCAAGATGGCCCCTTGTGAATTTGGGGTGCTAAATGGCCTGGCTGTTGACCTCTCAGCATACCTCAATCAACAGGAAAACCTGCTGCAGCGCTTGAGCAACGGGCTCCAGGACTGTGCCACACACACCCAGCCCTTCTGGGGACCACTGACCCAAAGAACAAGTAAGGAGAGGCCATAGAGGGCTATAAGGAAGCACAGAAGGGAGGTAATGGAGGGTACCGCAGCAGATGAGGGGTTTGAGAAATGGGCAGGAATGAAACAGGAAAATGTGTGGACTGGAATGTAGAAAGAGGGGAAGACTGAGTCTCATGAAGAAACAAGGTAGTTGATTGGGGTGGAGCATAAGAAGAGGAGGTGATGTTTGAGTTGGTGAGAAGCCATTGGTTGGGTGAGCAAGAAGAGACCAGGATGCAGATGCAAGTTCAACCAGGGATGTATCAGATTAACCAGAATGTCTTTTCCCCAATTGCTCTGGTCTCTTCACCTCAATGCTGATGTTTTAGGTGTGGGCTGGGCCTAGGCATAAAATATTTGGAAAGGCCCCCCAGGGGATTCTGACATTCTCCCTCTCCCCTGATCCCTTGTGTTGAGAATGACTTGAAGTCCATAAGAGAAAACTTGAAGATTTCCATAGGACAGAGTACTGTGTCTTAAATGTAGTTTTTGAATCATCTCTCTCTGAATTGCCTAGGAGAGGTGCTTGTTAAAAATTTAAGTCACTGGTTACCATTCCAGATCCACTGAATGAAAATATCTGGGGATACAGCCTAGGGAATCTGCATTTTAACACAATTTGTTGTATTTTCACTTAAGATTTTATTTGAAAAGCACTAAGGTAGAAGCAAGTAGAAGGGTCACCTAAGAGAATAAACTAGTAAAAGATGGCAATATTAATAGTCTCATTAATTTGTTGTTTTTGGTTGTGGTGGAGTCAATCTGACTCATGGCAACCCTATGTGTGCAGCGTAGAACAGCTCCATAGCATTTTCAAGGCTATGACCTTTTGGAAGTAGATTGCCAGTCCTGTCTTCTAAGACATCTCTGGGTGGATCTGAACCACCAAACTTTTGGCTAGAAGTCAAGCATTTAAAGTCTAGTGCTTAACCATTTTTGCCTCCCATGGACTCCCCTTAACTCCAAATTTTAGAGAGCTAGTCTTGAGTTAGGCTTGTTTCCTTTTCCAAGGAGAGCCTTCATTTAAGCAAATTAATTTGTTAAACAATATTTTTTGGGAATTTTTTTTTTCCTACCTTTAGAAATCCCAATTTACCAATCTGGGCTTATGCACTTGAAATAAATACAATGACTTTGTTCTGGAACAGCTTGCAGTTCAGACCTGACTTCTACTCATTGTGATTGAACCTAATTTTGGAGGAAAAAAGAAAGGAAAGTTCAGTGAAGGATTGGGAGAAGGAAAAAGGCAAAGCAAGAGTAAATACTAACTTCTCATTTTCAAAGGGATATGTGGCACAATGTGAGTGGGTTAGAAAAGATCTATGAGGAATTGAAGTAGGAAAGAAAGCAGGTTGGAGAAAAGTCAGAATGTTGCCCTTCTTCATGACCATGCTTCTTCTCCTATACAGAGCCTCCATCTGTGAAAGTAGCTCCAGTCACTCCTTTTAACACGAGGGAGCCTGTGATGCTGGCCTGCTATGTATGGGGCTTCTATCCAGCTGATGTGATCATCACATGGAGGAAGAATGGGCAGCCCATCCCCTCTCACAGTAATGCCCATAAGACTGCTCAGCCCAATGGAGACTGGACATACCAGACTCTCTCCCATTTAGCTTTAACCCCTTCTTATGGGGACACCTACACCTGTGTGGTGGAGCACATTGGTGCTGTTCTGCCCATCCTTGAGAACTGGAGTAAGTACATGGCAGGCAAGAGGAGTTAGTTTTAAAGCAGAAAGATAGTGGATGGTGGTGGTAGAAAAAGGAACACCAATATTATGGCGGAGGCAGTGAGATGTGATAGGTACATGGTATATAGACAAAGGAGATGCTGAGAATGGGAGTGAGTCTAGAGGAACTTATGGAGGATTTATGGCCAGAGTTGGGACAATGGGATGAAGGAATGTTGTTAATTATGATTGTTGGTAATGTGGTGTAATTGATGTCGTGTGCATGTTTGGGGGTGGGAGGGGAGCATGACTGTGCTGAAAAGAGGCTGCAGATTTCATAACTGTATTTGCAGAATGAACAATTGTTATACAATATTCTAGGCTCCTCAGATTTCAACTATTCTGTTGTAAGGTCAGGAATGAGGGTAGGGAAAATAAAGTTGCAGAACAAAGGGAACTTTCTCTTGGTGCAGGGCAGGACTGAATTTGGGCTGCAATGTTAGGGATAATGGAGGAGGAAAAAACCATGGCTAGTAGACATTTTGGTGTATATACCTGGGGGCTAATGAACAAGGAGCCAGACACCATTGTCTGAACCCCAGGATTGAGAAAAAGATAATGAGAGGAGTAGCACACAGATCTGGAGATTCTTGAGGAAGAAGAAAGATGCCAACAAAAGGCCAGGGAACAAGATCTGAAGCCAGCCCTCTTTGTGGGAGTGTTATATCTTGCTGGGAAGGGCATGGGAAACAGAGAGTGGAACCCACATTTCCACCCAAGGTCTCCTGGGGAAAGTCACTTTTACAGGGTGCACAAGGACTTGCTTTTGGTGGTAGAACATTCATTTTAGCATGGGAAAGGAACCCTGCAGGGCAAGCTTTAGTGTAGGACTAGCGCTAGAAAGTTGGGGGCTATGAAGTGGGATAGAGACCGGTTCTGGAAGGACATTGGAAAACCTAGATGTGGACAGGTACTAGGATTGAAACTTTTGGAGGTTAGTAAAAGTTGAAAGACATTTTGATATGAAACTGCTCAGATGAAGCAAATAAGGGTGTAAACATTGTCACCTTAGGGGAAATGGAGAGGGGAGTGAGGAACACTTTATTCTCTGGTAAGAAGTGACCTTGTAGTGAAGGCAGGAAAGGGGATGCCTAAGAGAGTTCACTGTATTAGAGAAGAAATGGAAGTTGGGGTGCTAACCCTGGGAAGATGGGTTTCCTAGGGTTTCCCAGGAATAGGGGTTCACAGGATTTGGGGGGTGCTTAAGAAAGGCCATTTCCTTGGAAATGGGTTGGTGTGATCTAGATCCTTGGGGTTGGGATAAAGGATCTTTGAACTTGTTGGGTGGAGGTCACAATAAATTGCTTTGGGTGTGAGCAATAGGGATTGGTTCTAATAAAATTCTATTTCTGTAGCACCTGGGCTGTCACCAATACAGACAGTGAAGGTTTCTGTGTCTGCAGTGACTCTCGGCCTGGGCCTCATCATTTTCTTTCTTGGTATGATGAGCTGGCGGCGAGCTGGCTCCTCTGGTAAGTGATTCCCTGAACCTCTATCCACAGTCCTGTTTCCAATCTCTGCTTACTTTCTATTTGTGGCTGATTCTCCCATTCCTACCCCATTCACTGTGAATAATGTCAGATACAATTATTCACAAAGATCCTCCTATAATCACGTATCTTCCTCTCTTTAGGTTATACTATCCTCCCTGGGTCCAATTATCCAGAAGGTAACATCTCTATTGGTCTTCTTGTCTACTAGTCCTTTGGTGGCAGTGCTGGTGGTAAGGTGTGAGGATTAGAGGGAGTCAGTGTTGGGTTTATTTAATGGCATGTATAGTAGGGGTGAACCTCCATGAGAATGTAGCTGAGGGCATGATTTAAACTGTTGTTGTTGGTAGTAGGAGCAGGAAAAGAGGAAAGCCTGCTTCTTCCTCTTTTACCTAGTAGAGTGTCTATGGGGAGAGAACTGATGGTGGCTCCTGTGTTAGTCCTTAGTGACCTAGAACCTTCAACCTCACTGTATTATGGGCTCAGCATCAGGTGGTTACAAGGGTAAGTAATGAGGTCAAACTGAGTTTAAACTTCATTATCTCCTTTTTATTTGCTCTACAGGTCGGCACATTTCCTAGAGACAAAAATCCTACAACTTTCACTCCAAGTGAGGTGGTTCTTCCCCTGTACCCTCAAATCCTCAAAGTCTTCTTGGATCTTATGGTTCCCCTGTCCATGTAAACCTTAGCAACTTGGGGGACCTCATTTCTGGGAAGAGTCTATAACCAAAGGCTTTATTCCTAGGGTGAATATAACCTGGGCAGGAAGGTTAAAGAGCCATTTTGAGGGGCCCCACTATGTCACAGAGGACATCAAGTCACTGGTGACCATTTCTGAGAATAAACTCCAGTGGAAACAGTGTGTATCTGTGTCTTTTTCTTGGAGTCCTGGGGAGGGAATATGGGCAGAGCTAGGGGCTAGGATGATTCTCTCCTAGTTGAGTAGAGGAGTCAGGGACTCTTCTTATTTCCCCATCTAAACACCACAGAACTTGGAGCAACTTTCTGGTTTTTAAGTCATGAGAAGAAAATTAACTGTGGTGGGATGGAGTCATGGAGTGAGGAAGTGGAAGAGGATTAATAATTTGTTATGAGCATTAAATGAGCTTTAATGAGGATTAAATGAGTTCATACTTGTAAACTGCTGGAACAGTTTTATTGCTTGGCACATAGCAAGACTGCAACAGTAGCATTAGATATTATCAGCTACTGAGCTTTCTGGGTCACGCATTGTGCCGGGTGCTTTACATGCATTATTTCATTTGATCCTCATCACAACCATAAGGCACACCCTCAAATAGTCAGGATTCAGGGGGCAGAGCCTAATTTCAGATCTGAATTCTGGATAAAGTTGTTCCATACCCTGTACGGGATAGGGAATATAGCTCATATATATATATATATATATATAGGCACTGGGCTAAGTGCTTTATGTTTGTATCTTATTCATTGCTCACAATAACCCCATGGGGACAAACTGTCTCTGTATCACAGATGAGGAAACTAAGGCTCAGAGAGGTTTAGTAACTTGCCCAAGGTCAAAACCAATTCACTATATAAAATGTTTGTCCATCTGAGCTATAAGTATGTTGTTGTTGTTGTTGTTATGTGCCGTCGAGTCAGACCCGACTCATAGCGACCCCTCCTTGGGTTTCCGAGGCAGTATCACTACGGAAGCAGGATTGCCCAACCTTCCTTCCGAGGAGTGGCTGGTGGGTTTGAACTGCCAGCCCTCTGGTTAGCAGTCAAGTGCCTTAGCCACTATGCTACCAGATAACTTTATTCTGAAGATCCTCATGCTGGTAAGCACAGCCTCTTCAGGGCCACTCTTCAATTCTCTTCTATCTCTAAACTCTAGTGGCACCCAGAATTGGGAGACACTGTCTTGTGCTGTTTGTTTTCTGGTGAAAGATGACATCTGCTGGACACAGAAGGTTGGGCTGAGGAGTTGTTTTTGGAATTAGAGTTGGGTACATATTGGGGAGGGGTGTCAAAGAAGCCCTGGTGTTGCAGTAGTTAAGCATTCAACTGCTAAGCCAAAAGTGAGCAGTTTGGACCCAACAGCTGCTCCACAGGAGAAAGATGTGGCAGTATGCTTCTGCAGTAAAGACTTACACCAAAACCAAACTCACTGCTCTCGAGTTGGATCTGACTCACAGCGACTCCTCCGTGGGTTTCTAAGGCAGTAACACTATGGAAATAGACTGCCCAATCTTCCTTCCAAGGAATAGCTGGTGGGTTTGAACCACCAGCCTTCTGGTTAACAGTCAAATGCCTAGTTCTATATATATATATAACCAAACTCACTCCCATCAAGTTGATTCCAACTCATAGCAAGCCCCACTGGGTTTCTGAGGCTGTACTACAGAATCATTATTAAGTTAGAATTGACTCCCAGCAGTGGGTTTCTACACATGGGGTCACCTTGAGTCGGAACTTCATGGCAATGTTTTTTGTTTGTTTTACTGCACTGAAGGCAGTGTAAGTGGTTAATGTGCTCAGCTGCTTACTGAAAGGTTGGAGGTTTTACTCCACCCAGAGGCACCTTGAAAGAAAAGCCTGGAGATCCATTTCAGAAAAACCAGCCATTGAAAACACAATGGAGCAGTTTTGCTCTGACACACATGGGATCGTCATGAGTCAGAGTCAACTCAACAGCCACTGTATACTGGATTAAGGACAAAGTACAGAAATCAGAAATAAAGACAACTAGTGGAAGAGTTTAGGTTAATAGAGAATTGTGGAAGGATAACAAGGGGTTATGGATACATGCTTCTGTGAGGGTTTCTGTATGGAGACGTGTTCGATCAGGATTTGATAAGCTGCAGGGAGAGGTCAGTCAAGAGACAGACTGTACGATTTTCCTGTGTGCTTTTATCCTCAGTTATCTGTGTGTGGATGGTTGTTGTATATGTCATGGGAACTAGAACACTCTATCCCTAGACTATTTCAGCACTGATAGGGGCCTGGAGAAGAGTGGTGGTACCACTGCTTATATAGATTGGAAGTCCAAAGTAGGTGTTCAGTGTTTGCCTAATCAATCCTTGCTGTAGGTTTCTACGTAGAACCTCTAAATTAAGTAGGTTTCATTTTATTCCTTCTTAAAATTATAAATATATATTGAAATAAAGTTTTCCAGCATGGATGCATGTGGGGTGAACAACTAATTTTAACCAAAGAATGTGGTCTTTGTCCCTGATTCTTGGGAGGTAACTTCTTAACCCTTGAAATTTCCTGAGAGGTTAGAGTGTCTTTATTATTCATGAAGGTATCTAAACCTGAGAGTTTGTGCTAACAATATGAGTTAGGATATGAGCTAGCCACACCAAAAAGACTCACTGTGCGATATCAGCCCAACTCCAGGGAGGGAAAGGGACTGAAGGCTGAGTTCCATTATATGGCCAATGAGTCAATCATGTGTACACAATAAAACACCACTAAAAATGACACTGGAGCTAGGATGAGTATCCCGGTTGGTGATGAACACTGAAGTGTGGGGAGGGTAAGTCACTCCTGGGGACATGGAAGTTCTCAAGTGGGGACCCTCCCAGACCTTACCTTATGCATCTCTTATGTTGGTCCTGATTTGTAATTTTTATGATAAAAGTGTAATAGTGAATTATTGAGCCTCAGGGGATAGTGAAAACTCTTGAATTTGTAGTCAGAAGGTCAGAAGTGTGGGCAACCTGAGAATCCCTGAGGTTGCAGCTGACGTCTTGAAGGGGAACTGGGAACCCTAAAATTTGTAGCCAGTTATTTAGAAGTGTTGTTGACCTGGCAACTTGTGGCTGGTGTTTGAAGTCTTGGCAGTCTGGAAGTCTGTGGCCTTTAACCTGTGAAATATGACCTAACTATGGATAGTTAATGTCAGAATATAATTGATTTTAGCATACATTATATATATTTTCCAGTTTAATCTGATAAATGGTCAATTATATTGGAAGAAGTTTTTCTTCTAAAGTATTTTTATTGTATTGAAAATATATAGAACAAAACACTCTCCAATTCAACAGTATCTACAAATATAATTCCATGACATTGATTACATGCTTCATGTTGTGAAACCTCCATCACTCACTTTTTCCTAATTATTCCACCACCATTAACATAAACTCAACGCTCCCCACCCCCAGACAAAAATTTCCCCTTCCCCTCTCCCTTGCATCCTGGTAACCACTAAAAATCTTTGGTTTCTATATATATACTTATTTCATATAGTGAGATCATATAGTATTTGCCCTTTTGTGACAATTATTTCACTCAGCATGTTTCAAAGTTTATCCATGTTGTGGCAGATATCAGTACTTCATTTTGAAGCCGGACTGGAGTGGGTCCCTGCCCAGAGCACTGTAAAGGCCAGGAGACAGGACAGAGCAGATTTTGATGAAAGAGAAAGTAGGTTTATTATCTCATGCAGGGTAGGAGACAGAGAACATGATCAAATCTGACTCTCCCAGTTGGGTTTGGGGTAGAGCTTTTATAGGGTTCAAAAAAGGGGAAGTTATATATATTCAACTTATTTCTGGGGAAATTGATTGCATAACCATTAGGGGCAGGCTCAGGATGGAGGCCAGAAGTGGCCAATGGACCTCTTGCTTCTTAATTTTGTCCTTCTTGGACTAGACTTCTTTCATTCCCTTCCAACAGAGTAGCTCTTAGCTCCTTGCAGGTCATCTGAGGGCATCAATTGGACATAATTAGCTGGTACAAGTCATCAGCCAACCTGGGTTATGTTGTCCGGGTTTGTTCCAGTCACTCTGCCTGGGTTCCTTTCCCGGGGCACCATATGCTACTTGTGCAGAAACAAGCTAATAAAATGATTAAGCTAAAAGAATGGAATGTAGGTGAGGCTACTCTCATGATAGTATATAACGGGCTCTTCTTGGCTTCAATTTCTCTTTATGGCTGAATGATATTCCATTGTAGTATATATAGCATTTTTTCAATCCATTCATCTGTTGATGGTCATTTAGGTTGTTTCCTCTTTTTGGCTATTGTGAAAAGTGCTGCAGTGAACACTGGTATATAGGTTTCTGTTTGCATTCCTGTTTTCTTTTCTTTTAGATATATACTTAAGATTAGGATTGTTGGGTCATAGGGTTAGTTCTATAGTTACTCTTTTGAGGAACTGCCAAACTGTTTTCCACAGTGGCTGCACCATTCTGCATTCCCACTAACAAGAGATAAGAATTCCACTTTCTCCACAACC